GGAAAGTGCCCCAAGAACCAGCAGGAAGTGAGGACAGCAGCAGTAGAGGCCTGGCAGAGCATCACCAGGATGGAACCCAGCGTCTGCTGATGTCTGTGGGTTCCAGGCTTCAGGCTGTCAGTGGCTGCAACCAACCAAATACTAAAAGTCACCATTTTATTTATGATTATGTTAGTTTGTCCAATTACTGTTGGTCCCTTAAAAAAGTGGAGGCCACATAAAAAATGTGATGTAATTCCTACATCGTTCACCTGGTTTGGATGTAAATAGTCTCTAATTGAAGCTGAAAGTCTGCACCTAAAGCATATCTTGGTTGTTTCATTTCAAATCCATTGTGGTGGTGAACAGAGCTGAAATACTGAAGATTGTGTCAATGTCCACATATTTAGGGACCTGACTGAATTTTCAACAGCAGTGTGAGGTCATTGCCTCAGTGTTCTACCTGCTTTCAGTGGAGGTCACCCTGTCCCTGACCCAATCATAATACTTGCACATCCATCATTACAAAGGACACTGACGTTGATAAAGACAGTTTGGTGAAGAAGTTATCACAGACTGTGGTTGAATGTGTGCCAGACCTGGTTATTCTTTTCAAATCCTGCCATGGAGGAGCAGCCATGCCTGAAGCTTTTAAAGACGGCGCGTCAGCCACAAAGGACCCCGTCTTCAGCCAGCGACTCACTTGTTGAATTACAAAGAAATGGTTCAAATCCAATCTAATAATGGGAGTCAGAATGGCACTGGTTCCTCTGGTGATGGAGGTCAAAACACAGTGAAGACACCAGACTGGTCCTGAGTGAAGACTCCCAGACACAGATACAGCTTTGGACGTAATTATTACACCACCTGCTGTTTTCTACACAGCAGGCCTTCAGTGATAATCTCTTTTTAGAATTTTATCATTGTGGGAAAAATAATGACAGCATCTTCTAAAAGACATCAAAAAATCTTAGAATAATTCAATACAAGCAATGAGTTAAATGATATGATGTATTGAAATGTACTGAGTCACCATTATTTTGTGCATGAGCCAAATATGTAACTGATAATCCAAAATAAACCATCACTACGCCTAAAAGAGGAGAGAAAGAAGGCAGCCATCCTGGTGCTTAATGAAGAGCGAGAAAGTCATCGTTAACCAGCTTGGAATCAGCAAACCAGCTGCCCATCACCACCGGAGGAAGGAACATAAAGTGTTTGTCACAATGGTCTGATAAATGTGTTTAAAGCTGTGTTCTTATTATAATCAGGAAGGGCACATTCTGTTTCCATTAAAGTGGAATATGGCTTTATATTCAGACTGAGGCTGAAGGTACATGAAAAGCTTAAAAAAATAAATGTTGTTTAAATGTGTGCGTGGCATCAGTCTGATTACAGCTGTGAAAGGTCTGAGCATCTTATTGGCCTAATGGCTCATTTACTATTCACTGATTAAATAAAGCCATTGATTGGTTGGAATAATTGCTTTGCTTGCGCCTAATTGGGAGTTAATTGAATGACTAAAACAGCATGCGGGCAGATGTAGACGGGACCACTATGAAAGCTGAGCCAGGTTGGTTTGTCTTTCACAGCTTTTATTTCCTCCGTGCTGTCCTTCCAGCTGCTGCAGTGAAGGAACAGGAGGATGAATTATGACCCCAGAGGCTCAGAAAACAACAACACAAGGCAAAATTATATATTATATATGATATTAAAAGCAAACGACTGCATCTCACTTTGTTCAGTTCCTCATGTGTTTGGTAGAACTCACTGTGGTCCAGCCCACACTGGCTTCAACTCAGAGTTATGGATGTCGACCTAAAATAAGTTTATTCTGCAAATATAAAGGTGGTAATAGAGTACAGATGGGTTTATCATCTCATCACTGTTTAATATTATACTAACAATCCATCTGAAAATCCAATCAGACCTGATTCTATACCACAGCATTCTGCACCGCGCTTTGCTAATTACTACACTGCAAGGCCAGTTAGCATTTCAATTAGGAATCACACTACATGGATCTAGGAATGCACTTGCATCTGCAGGAGATTTTAATCGCTTGTTGCCCTCCTCTGCATGCACTCATTTCCATAAAAATCCCACACAGCCACTTTTCCACAATGTCTTTTCTCACAAACACAATATTTTGTCTGAAAG